CCCTCCCCGCGCCCTGGGCTGCAGCTTGTGTTCCCGTGGCTGCTGCCTACCACAAACAGAAGTGTTCTGACAGGAGCCGCCGCGAAGGCTCCGGGGAGCGGCTGTGCTGAACTGGAGCCACTGAGGGAAGAGCCAGTTGGCAGAGTTACACTGGAGCAGGAACCATGGGGACTGTCCCATGAAGGAAGTTTACGTGTCACTTCCCGGTCCAGTCAGAGACAGGGCCTGAAGCACGGGAGGCCAGACTGATGTTTGGAATCAACCAAGGGACTTCATTCTCCTGGAACCCTGACGGCCGCTGTCGGTGTCACGTAGCTACCCACCTTCCACACGCGCCTCCACCACCCGGAATCCTCCTTCTTCCCTCCTCTCTTGCCGCCACCGTCTCTGCCTGCGCCCCCAGGAGCGAGCCCCTTGGGATCAGGGAGGCCTAGGGAAAGGAAAGGTGAGTTAGGAAAGAAAATGGGAAAGAGATGTGTTGAGACCCGATTTCCCCACACCAGTCACACGCTGAACCACCAGCCCCCGGATTCGGCAGGTTTGGAAAGTCCAGCGGAATAATGTTGATACTCGCAGCTCATTTTTGTGGATGAGGATACAAATCTGGTATGTGTGCAAGGCCCCAGTGATCTGCTCCTCACCAAAACTCTCCCACCTCCTGGACAGCCTCAAAACGCCCCAGGACTGGCCCGGGAGGATCCGGGACTGGTTACCTTTAGTGTCCTGAGTATCCTCTCCCGGGCTGGGACTTCTTCCATTCTTCTTAAAATATTTCTCAAAGCCTGAGAGAGAAAGGGAGTGTTACTGAAAGGGACAGTGGCTCTGGCCTGGCTCTGGCCCGTCACAGCACCCCCTCTTTATAGGGGAAAGATCCCGGACAACCAGAAAGGTGCTGAACCAAAACCAAACAGGGAGGGGAAAAGATTCTGGTGATGGTATTTTTAATGGAATAAAAGGGGGCAAGGCGAGTATGGACAAGATTGGAGAGAAGGCTGTTACATTAGTAGACCCCAGATATGAACCCCAACCCTTTACATGTGTTTACCACACAGCGTTGTCCAAAGGCGGCCTGCCCTGCTTCCAGGGTCTCACTTGGGCAGATGAGCTCAAAGGAAAGTGAGGCATGTGCAGTGCGGGACTGGCGAGTGGCTTTCGCCGCCGTTTCTCAAGCCCTGGCAATATCTATATTGTGTAAATAATACCTAATAATAACTGCCAAACGAGACCGCTTCCCAACCTGCTGACAAAGGGCCTGATCCAATTTAAACTGGGCCCAATGCAATCTGTTGCTATTACCCAAGAAGATCCTGTTAACAGGCAGTCACCCTTCAAAAATATAAGGGACCAATCAGTAAAAGCTCTACTGCTTGGGAGAGGCCATCTTTGAAGAACATTGGAGAGACTTTGAGCTGACTTCTGAGAGCAGGGCTTTCTCTCACTGGACGTGCTAAGCCTGGTCTTTAGCTCATGTTTCACTGTGCGGGTCAGAATAACTCAGAAATGTGTCATCACAGCTAACTCCATTCAGGTCTAGACAACGTGCAGCCCAAAGGCAGAAGGACACATTTCTTGAAACTGGAGTCAAAACATCTCACTTCTTCACAGAGCTCCCAAAAGGCTTGTTCACCCAGACACACCAGTCATGGCAGCCCTCTCTGTAGTTTCAGAGGGATACCATCTACGGTTTTTGTTAGTCTCTAAGGGTATGTCTACACTAGCCCCCGAGTTCGAACTAGGGAGGCTAACGTAGGCATTCGAAGTTGCAAATGAAGCCCGGGATTTAAATATCCCAGGCTTCATTTGCAACTTCGAATGCCTACGTTAGCCTCCCTAGTTCGAACTCGGGGGCTAGTGTAGACATACCCTAAGGTGCTCCAAGACTGTTCATTATTTTTTAAGCATTCGAAGTTGCAAATGAAGCCCGGGATTTAAATATCCCAGGCTTCATTTGCAACTTCGAATGCCTACGTTAGCCTCCCTAGTTCGAACTCGGGGGCTAGTGTAGACATACCCTAAGGTGCTCCAAGACTGTTCATTATTTTTTAAGTTCTCTCTGTAGAGACACAATACATTCTGCCTCCCTGTGGACACGCCACGTGTTTCCACATAGCATCTTAACACGCTGTTTAAATCATCAACTGCTTGGATAAGGAAAACTCACAAAGAGTCTGTTCATCATCCACACCGGAATGACATGGTGATTTCACCTCTGTGGCAACAGACCCGATCTCTCTGTGGGCTTTTGTGGAGCAGCAGGGAGCCTGGGGCGGTCTCTCATGGGGAGAGACCAAGGTACCTCCATTTCAGTGGTTCTCAAACTTTATGGCCCATGAACCACTTGGCTCAATGCAAACCTTTCCACAGACCACCAGTTGCTAATGGAAACTCACAGTTAATTATACAATTACATCCAAGCCATTTTGCTAGTGCTGCAGCTAGGGAGAACGATTTAATTTAAATGATTAAACAGATTAAGCATTTTAATTTTCTCATGTTAGTTTATCCAACTTCATTTTAAATAAAATAAAATATTATGTCCAACACAAAAGGTTTCCATGTTTTCTTTATTTATGGCAGGGTGGGGAACCTTTTTTGGGTTGGAGAGCAAAAGAAAAGTCAATTGGGGACCACACAAGTGAGAAGCAAAAAAACCCTCTTCCAACCCCCCTCCCCTCCCCACCCTCACTGATGTGGCCCAAAACTGAGACACCTCACTCCTCTGGTGCTCCAGCCCCACGGGGTGAGGGGAAGGGACAGGGAGGACTGAGGTTCAGGGCTTTCCATATACCAGATTTACTTTTCTGGGATTCTGGAGTTAGTGAATTTATGGCTCCCCTTAGGCTCTGGGGTAGGGACAAAAATGAGGCGTTCAGTGTGAGGGACAGAGCTGCCAGTGAGTGGGTTAGGGATGGGGTGCAGAATTTGGAAGGGAGGTGGGGGCAGAAAGGGGAGAGGTTATGAGGTCTGGGTGGGAGATGGTGCAGAAGCAGGCTTGGAGGGGGGTGTCTGGCCAGGTGGAGGGAGCAAGAACAAGGGAGGGTGCAGTGTGTGGCCAGAAGAGAGGGTGCCAGAGCAGCTAGGGGTAGGTGTCTGGCCAGGAGGGAGGGTGCAGGAACAAGGGAGTGTGTTGGAACAAGCTGGGGGAGCGAGGTCTTGCTGGGGGGGAAGGGAGTGAAGGGGACTACGGTGCAGGGTCTGAGCATGAGGGAGGACGTTTACCTGGCTTTGTGTACCCTTGCAGCGACCCCAGGGATTTTCAGGACATTTTAGTACTTGATGGGGACACAGTATTTAAATTCGGGACTGTTTTAGAAAAACTGGGACGTATGGTCAGTGTAAACTTATTGTTTAATGTCTCTATCCCTCTGCTAACCACAGCTACACCAAGAAATCTAGCAGAAGCAGAAGGCCCTACGAGGAGCCTTGCTGAGGACACATACCTTTGGGTGGTTTTGAGCAGAGCCAGTGCCAAGTGGATGCTATGCTCCCTGGGTAGTCCTGCTTCAGGGTGGTGATCTCCTTCAGCCACTAGAACAGTAAAGCACAGTAGTCATCTCTACATCACGCACACATGACTGTCCTGGTTCTCCGGGGACAGGCATTTCTCACAATGATGAGAATGCGACTGTGTTCCAGCTTCCTTCTGGGGCCGCAGGCAGCACAAGTGAAAACTAGAGCAGCACTGAGGCTGCTCTAATTGACAGCGACCTTTGCCCTTGTCTCCCTATTCCTGCGAGGAGTGCTCCGTGGCCGGACTGTGACCCAGGCCAGGCCTACCCAGCGCGCTTTACCGTGGTACGGCTGTGAGGCTATGGCTGCACGGCTGCCAGGGACGGGGGTAGCCACAGTGCCACTGCTGTTAAAGCCTTTCAGAGCGCGCGCGCGTGTGTGTGTGCGTGTGTGTGCGCGTGCACACCGGCTTCCTGCCCCCCGAGTGACGAAGTTTTAACGATGAAGGCGCAGAGCCAGGAACTAGAGTAGCCGGGTAGGGGTGAGGGGCACGTGGGGTGGGACCCTGGAGCGGGAGCAGCCCGGCCAGGCATGTGTGTGTATGTATGTGTGTGTGTATTTATACATACACACACGTACAATATGACATTTTTAAATCCGAAAGAATGATTTTGGAGGGACTGAACTTCCTTAATCAAGCTTCAAAAT